GGACGAGGAGGAGGAGGACGAGGAGGAGGAGGACGAGGAGGAGGAGGGAGGAGGGAGGAGGAGGAGGACGGGGAGGAGGAGAAAAAAGAGGAGGACAGACGGGGGACCCGAAGGGACACTTCGAGCCCTCGGTACCGAGAGGCCCCCAGAAGGCCCCAATAGGCAATAGGCCCCACAGAGGCCACCAGGAAACCCGCTTCACAACTGCCCCCTCGATGCCCCCGAGAACGCTCCGAAGAGACCCCAAGAAGCATCCTTGATGACTCTGACCCACAACCCAGGCACGGTGGCGGGATGGGCCGTAGGCGTCTTCGATCCGCCGCCCACTGTCGATTCATCGCAGGTGTGCCTGGCGTGCCAGACGATATGGCTTTTGGTTTCGGTTCTTTTTCCACAAGAACTCCCCCTGGGGCTTCGGCCCGTCCCGCCGGCCACCCGGAAAGGATCTCAAAACGCATCCGTCGTGCCTCTGTTTCCTCCAGTTGGCCCAAGATGGCGTCCACAAGACGGCCAAGATGGCCCAGTATGGTCTCCAAGACGTCTCCAAGACGGCCCAAGATTCCTCCAAGACGGCCCAAAATGGCCTCAAGATGGTCTACGACGGCCCAACAGGCCCGCAAGACGGCCCAAGAGCCCTCCAAAACGTCCTCCAGGAAGGCCCGAAAGGACCAACATCATATATTTTCCTTAGTTGTTTGAGAGATTTGGCATTTGCGCCTTTTCGGCTTTCCGACGGCCCATGACGGCCCAAGAGGCCCACAAGATCGCCCAAGAGGCCCCCCAAAGGGCCCCATGACGGCCCAAGTGGCCTCCAAGACGGCCCCAAGAGGGCCCCAAGACGGCCCAAGAGGCCTCCAACGCGCCCAAGATGGCCTCCAAGACTCCCAAGATGGCCTCCAAGACGGCCCCGAAGCGCCCCAAGAGGGCCCCAAGTCGGCCCAGAAAGGCCCCCAAGACGGCTCCCGACGGTGTCAGACGTGCCAGGAACCCACCAAGATGGCCGAAGTTGACTCGAAGCTGGCCCAAGACGGCTCAGGAGGCCCCCAAGAGGGCCTCCAGGAAGGCCAGAAGAGGCCCAAAACATTGATGTGTCTAAGGTTTTTGACGGATTTTGGCATTTGCTTCTTTTCGGCCTTCCGACGGCCCGAGACGGCCCAAGAGTCCTCGAAGATCGCCGAAAGATCGCCCAAGAGGCCTCCAAGATGGCCCCAGAACGGCCCAAGAGGGCCCCAAGACGGCCCCAAGATGCCCCCAAGACGGCAGATGGGCATCCAAGACGGCCCTGGAGCATTCCAAGAGGGCCCCAAGTCGGCCCATAGAGACCCCTAAACGGCTTCCGACGGCGTCAGACGGACCAGGGGCCCACCAAGGCGGCCGAACATGGCCCTAAGATGGCCCAAGACGGCCCAAGAGGCCTCCAAGAGGGCCTCCAGGAAGGCCCGAAAAGGCCAGAATCATTGATTTCCCATGGGTGGTTGAAGGATTGTGGCATTTGCTTTTTTTCTGCCTTCCGACGGCCCGAGACGGCCCAAGTGCCCCCAAAGATCGCCCAAGAAGCCCAAGACACGGCCCCAAGAGGCCCCCAAGACGGCCCAAGAGGTCTCCAAGACGCTCAAGATGGCCTCCAAGACGGCCCAAGAGCCCTCCAAGATGTCCTCCAAGAAGGCCCGCACGGGTCAAAATGGCCTCCAAACGGCCAAGATGACCTTCAAGATGCCCACGTGTTCCCCGAAGGCTTCCACACCGATTCGGGGAACACATGGTCCGATAGCTTGGCAGGTCTGGCCTCAACGTTCGGCCACATAGGCGCTTCCAAAAAGGCAGGGGGCGGCGGTGATTCGCCGTAGGCGCCTTCGATAATCCCACCAGCCCTTTAGGGCGTGAGTGGTTTAGCGAGCCCCCTCTGTCCTCAACCCCCCTTCTTCCCCTTCGGGGAGGGGTTTACCCCTCCCCCTACCCCCTCCCCCTGGGCCTGGAGAGGGAGTTCGCCGGGTCGTCAGGGGGGTCTTTTTCGACTCCTGGGAGGGCCAAAAAAACGACGACCCTCACGAGGATTCTGGCCCCGACGGGGGGATAGAGAAAAAACCCTCTCCTCTTCTGTGAAGCCAAAATCATTGCTTTTACGATGGTTTTGGCCCCATTTTGGCCTCCCGAGGGGGCCGCGCTCATCTTCCTTCATAGCAAAATCATTGATTTTACAGAGGTTTTGGGCGCTCATTTTGTCCTTCTCAGGGGGCAGCGCTTCTTTGCGCTTCTGAGGAGGTCGCAAGAGGCCCCAAGATGGCCCCAAGAGGCCCCCAGGAGCCTCCCAAGAGGCCTCCAAGAGGCCCCCAAGAGGCCCCCAAGAGGCCCCAAGAGGCCCCCAAGAGGCCCCCAAGAGGCCCCCAAGAGGCCCCCAAGAGGCCCCCAGAGGCCCCCAAGAGGCCCCCAAGAGGCCCCCAAGAGGCCCCAAGAGGCCCCCAAGAGGCCCAAGAGGCTCCAAGAGGCCCCCAAGAGGCCCCACGAGGAGCCCGAACGACTCACACCAGGACGAGGGGCCCGAACGACTCACACCACGAAGAGCCCGAACGACTCACACCACAAGGAGGGGCCCGAACGACTCACACCAGGACGAGGCGCCCGAACGACTCACACCACGAGGAGCCCGAACGACTCACACCACGACGCGGGCCCCGAACGACTCACACCACGAGGAGCCCGAACGAGTCACACCAGGAGGAGGGGCCCGAACGACTCACACCAGGATGAGGGGCCCGAACAACTCACACCACGAGAAGCCCGAACGACTCACACCAGGACGAAGAGCCCGAACGACTCACACCACGAAGAGCCCGAACGACTCACACCAGGAAGAAGGGCCCGAACGACTCACACCAGGACGAGAAACCCCAAACGACTCAAATCACGAGGAGCGCTTTCTCTCCCTCCTCCTCCGCCTCGTCCTTCTCCCGCTCCCCCCACAAGGAGGATGTACAAGGAGGCGGGAGGAAGGAGGGACAGGGGAGATATGCGGGGCCAAACGGACACACGCCTGAAAAACACGACTGTCGGCATGCTTCGCATGAGTTGCTGTTGTGAGATGGGCTGGTGGGGATACGCGAAGCGTAAAGAATTTGATGATGCTGATAGCAATGCGGGAAGTGGGGTAGATGAGGGGGACGATGAGGATCAACTTTTTCATTCAACACATGGCTGCCACGGCCTTCATGAAGCGAGGGCGGGCACACACAACCTGGTGCCACTCATCCTCCATGCCCATCAGCGAAGCAGGAATCGCTTCAAGAGCCCGCCTGCTTTTGTACAATGGCGGTCGCACTCCGGCGCTCAGCTCACACACGGAGGGGGCAGAGGAGCAACAGGAGGCGGACGCGGAGCAGGAGGAAGGAAGAAACAAGGAGGAGGAAGAGGAGGAGGAGGAATCATGATCAGGAGGAGGAGGAGAAGGAGGAGGAGGAGGAGGAGGAGGAAGAAAAGAACCAGTGTAAACCCAAGACTCACCAACGATTTTGCAATAAACCCTCCCTCCAAATTCCCTCTTCATGCATGGGTCGTGCCAAAAAACCACTTTTGGGACTTCAACACTGCGAATCAACGTGGCTGTTAAACCTCCCACATCGTGCCACAACGCAGTTTCTGAGACGTCAACCATAAGAATCCTGGAAACTGTTCTACACTCCGACAACGGATGCGCGCGGCGCTACAGCGATAACCGCACTTTGAAAACGGCCCGCCCTCCGTCCGTGAAGCTCTTGCAGGCTTTTGCAGCTGATGTGCGCGGCGCAAGGGCGGGAACATACTTTTGAAGACGGCCCGCCCTCCACCCGCGTAACTCTTGCAGGCCTTTGAAGACGAATGTGCGCGGCGCTGGGGCGAGAACCGAATTTTGACAAGGAGCCGCCTTCCATCCGTGGATCGCTTGCGGACTTTGAAGACGAACGTGCGCGACGCTACAGCGAGAACCGCACTCTGAAGACGGCCGCCCTCCATCCGTGAGGCACTTGTACACTCTTCAAACGTATGTGCGCGGCGCTGATGCGAGAACCACAATTTGAAAGCCGCCCGCCCTCCACCCGTGCGGTTGCAAATCCGCCGACCCCAGAGGCATTTGAGATCAACCCCTTCGTCCTTCCTCCTCTGTTCGAAGGACACCCTCACCGCGCCCCGGCACAACCCGCCTCGCCCCGGCGTCCCCACTGGCCCGCAAGGTCCTGGCAACTCTGTTCTTGGACACCCCCCCCCCGCCCGACAATTTCCAACCCGAAACCGCCCCGCCAACCGCCCGGCGTCGCCCCACCCGGCATCCCCACCCGGCTTTGGGACCTCTGTTCTTGGGGCCCCCCGCCCGACCATTTCAAGCCTGGAATCGCCCCACCGACCCCCCGACGTGCAGCCCGCCCGGCATCCCGGCCCGGCCCGCCCGACAGGGAGGAGTTATTTATAAGCAGTAGAGGAGGAGGAGGAGGAGGAGGAGGAGGAGGAGGAGGAGGAGGAGGAGGAGGAGGAGGAGGGAGGAGGAGGAGGAGGAGGAGGAGGAGGAGCAGGAGAGGAGGAGGAGGAGGAGGAGGAGGAGGAGAGGAGGGAGAGGAGGAGGAGGAGCAGGAGGAGGAGGAGGAGTAGGAGGAGGAGGAGGAGGAGCAGGAGGAGGAGCAGGAGGAGGAGAGGAGGAGGAGGAGGAGGAGGTAGGAGGAGGAGGAGGAGGAGAGGAGGAGGAGGAGGAGGAGGAAGCGTGGGAGGACGGCGAGGCAAGAGGACAGCTTCCTGCCCTCCTCCGCGGCCTCCCCCGCCTCCTCCTCCTGCCTCTTCCCTGTCGTCCTTCTTTTCCTGCACCTCGTCCTTCCTCCCCCTCTGGTCTCCTCCTCCTCCTGCTCTCTCCTGCCGCCCCCGCCTCCTCCTCCGCCCCCCCCCCCTTCCTAACCCCTCCCCTCTCTTGCTCCCTCCCTCTCGCATGCTCGGCGTGGCGATGCTGCTGCTCGATGCCGCAGTCGCCCAGGCCGCGCCGCTCAGTGCCCCTCATGGTGCCCCACCATCTGCGTGAGGGCGAGCACGGTGCTCAGGAACACTCCAGCGCCCACGATGGAGGAAATGTACCAACGACGAGACAGCTTTTCCTGTAGGAGGAGCACAGAAGAAGAAACAACTGCATCATTAGAAACTTTCAGAGGTCCGCTCTGATTTCTTGGATCTCACCGTCATCATCACCATCACCATCATCACCATCATCACCATCACCATCACCATCATCACCATAATCACCTTGACGTGCCAACGACGAGACAGCTTTTCCTGTAGGAGGAGCATCGACGAAGACACAACTGCATAAACATAAACTTTCAGAGGTCCGCGCGGAGTTCTTGGATCGCCGCTGGACCCCCCCCCGCGGCGCCTCTGGCGCTGATCCTGGCGCGATCCGCGCGCCAAGGTGGGGGTCGCAGCGCCAATCCACGAAATCCGCAAGGACCTGCGACAATTGCGTTGATGCCGTTTTCTCTTTCGAGAGCAGGGAAGACGGTGACGAGGACGACGACGACGAAGCAGGAGGAGGGGGATGATAAGGGAGGAGGATGAGGTCGACGGAACAACCTCTCTCTCCTGGATCATGTGCACCAGGCTGGTCCCGGCATACGACGCTGCCAAGTTGGCGATCCCGTAAGCGATCGTCAGCGACATGATGATGCGATCGGTCAGAAGGTACTGCAAGGTGGTGGAGGAGGACGTGAAGATGACGCACGTGGACGACGTGGCGACGGCCACCGCGGGCTCCAGGTTCATGACGATCAGGAACGGAGAGATGATCAACCCACCTCCCCTTCCCTTAGGGGCAACGATAGGGGACCGGCTCACGGGGGAATCATCGCCCTGTATCGGCGATATATCGCCGATAGGCCCTGGGTAGCGAAACCACACAGTCCTGAGCGGGGTGGGCTATCAGGCCCCTCTCAACGATACTTGCTCCCCCTCAGCCTGTCCCACCCTAACGTTGCCCCTGAACCCCTTCTTTCCAGCCTCCCCTCCCCCAAGGAGAGCAGACCAGCGCACGAACACCTGCGACGCTCACGAAAGAAAGATCTCCACCGGCGCCAGGCACCTCCCCCCCCCAACTAGAGGCCTACCAAATTGGGGCCCAGTACATGGGGTCGGAGAACCGCGCCGCGTTGCCGGTGCATCACCGATGCATTGACGATGCATCGGCGACGTTTGCGATGTCACACGGAGAAGATCGGGCCTCACATCGAGTTGCATCCCCGATGCATCGGCGGTGCGGCGCTATCCGCCGACCTCATCTACTCGGATCCCATGTGGGAGGCACAGACAGAACTCTGCCCGCCGCGCGAACCGCGCCGGGGGAAGCGCCGAAAGTGCGGGGAGGGGGTCCGGCGCCAGCGGGTATCTGCTGCCCGCGGACGTCTGAAGTTCCCGTTTGCGCGCGCACTGCGGGCAGAAGAGCCGCCCTCACAATCAGCACCCTTGCCAGCGAAGCCCGTTTGCAGGCGTACCCGGGGACAGAAGTCACCTGGGCAGGACTGTTCGTGGTAAACGCCCGGGGCAGCTCGGCAAACGGAAGTGACGGGGGCAGGGGTGGTTCTATCCTCCCTCGGCTTCTTGCCCCCGACCACCTCCCTTCCCTCCTTCTTCCCCTGCCCCACCCTCTCCCCCCTCCCGCCTCCGATCCCGACGAGGCCAGCAAGCATGCCTGTGGCCACGGACACGGCATCGTACAGCATCACCTCGCCGGCCCGCCAGCCCTGCTTCCTTATGAGGACGCAGTTGTAGTGGGCCATCACAGCGGCGCACAGGGCGAGGGGGGACGCGAAGGAGAAGACGTTGAGGAAGTCAGCGGTCCTGCCGTCGTGCATCCACCGCTGCAGCGTGTCCTCTCGGGCCTTTGCTCCCCCAAACTACGACATGCCCCAAGTCGCCCCAGGCACGGGCTCGTGCTCTGTGCGCGGCCTCGAGTCTGGCTCGAGGCCCCTCGAAATAGCCCCGGAGGGCCCGAGATAGGACCGAACACAAGCGAGGCGGGGTCGCGAAGCGACGAGCCGAGGGAACTGACCAGATCACAACGAGCCCAGGCACGTGCTCAGCTGGGAGGGGGGCACGGGGAGGGGCCGCGCTCTCCTCCTCCTCCTCCTCCTCCTGCTCCTGCTCCTCCTCCTCCTCCTCCTCCTCCTCCTCCTCCTCCTCCTCCTCCTCCTCCTACGGGGGGGGGAAATGTTCGAGCGGCCACTGTCCCTTGTGGGCGGCTTCGCTGTGGCACGAGCCCCCAGGTTCGCCGGGGCGGCCCAAAGCGACCTCCAAGACAGCGCATGAAGCTCCACGGAACGCGAGGTGGCACACGAGAGTTTCCCAGAGATGCCCCGAGAAGGCCCGATACAGTCCCCTCGCTGTGTAACATCTTGCCCAAAACCAAGAGATCACCAATGGTCCCCCACTACATGCACTAGGCACGCGCGGAATCATCTGAGGGCCAACCTGTAATAGGCGAGCCAACACGCGAGACCTTGGTCAATGCAGATCGGCTAGAACGGGCGCGGCTACGGCAACGTATGAAGGTTGTCTTGTGCATGCGCCAGAGACACGGAATCTAGCTCCCATGCGTAAACGCCGTGAGACGCAAGGTCAACTCGCACGACCCTGAGGACGTTCAAGGGAGGAGGAATACGAAGACGGAGGAGGGGGGCGGAAATACGGACAGTTGCTCGAAAACGCGCACGTGGCAGGACAGGCTGTCCTTCGAACGAGGCCGAAATGTGCCTGTCCAGCGTCCAGGCGAATTGCGTATTCAGACAGATGCAGACATGTAGATGCGCTCGCGCAGACCAGCCCTCTTGGACGGTACCCGCACTGACCACCTTCGCGAGCAGCGGCGCGCACTAGTCAGGCGGGGAAGCCAAGAGAGAGGTCGGGGAAGGGCTAAAGGAGGGGGAAAGAAGCAAGCGAAATCACTCGACGCCGGTGGGGGAAGTAAATCCGGTGTGAATGCGCTGGGGTGCCGAAACAGGGCGACCCACCGCGCAGGCGGGGGTTGACGCAGAAACGGGAGTTAAATGCCGCCTCGCGTCGGCCGCGCAGTCCAGTCGACCCGCATCAAACATTCAGACGTGGACACTGACATCGCCTGGAGTTTGGAGTGCGCCGCCAAGCCGCTGTGCCAACTAGCCAGGGCACAGGATGAGGAGGAGGGGGGGGAGGAGGAAAGACTGGCGGCAGCTGCGTACCACCCGGGGGCGCAGCTCACCCCACGCGGTGCATCATGAAACATGTGTTTTTCCGTTCTTTTTCTGCTTGGCTGCAGGGGTGCTCAAACGCGACCCAAGACATCTCAATTGACTTCCCAAGACTGTCCAGGAGGGCCTCGAGATGGCACAATTGGGGGCCTCTTCAAGGCCCCCAGAAGACTCACGAGACCGCTAAGCAAGCGCTGGTAATCCGAACATGTTTTGCTGATGCGGAACGAACCATCCAAGAAGGCTGTTGACATCCACCTGGGCAAACAATCCAAGAAGGGAAACGCAACATAAGTGCCGCGGTGAGTACAGACTGCGGCCACAAGACGGACGATCTTGAGACTGAAGTGGGACCACGGCACCCCAGAGGACAGCAGGCGGCAGAACCACAGCCCATGGGGCGACCACGGCACACGGCACCCCCAAGAACACACGGCGATGCCACAACACGAAAGACAATCATTGCGCTCCGGAAAACAAACCGATCGCGTGGAGAATCCGATCAAACACGAGACCCCCAAACCCTCCGCTGGCGCCGGTCTTCCTTCCGAGTCGAAGCCTTCATGCACGCCAGGCCTCGCGCTTCCGTCGAACCACGGGCTGGGGCCCCCGCCCCAAGCTCCGCCTGGGCCATAACGACGCCGCGGTCCCTTGGGGCGAAGTCTCTCGGCGAAGTCCCCCGGCGAACTCCTCTTCCAGCGAAGTCCCCGCCTTCCCACCCAATCAGGAGGAGAGGAGAACAGGAATAAGAACATAAGCGCCGCGACCGCTCCACCCGCCGCGAGCAGGCCAATGCGTGCGCGATCCGAAATGGAGCCGTGCGAGCGGACCCCCCACACCGATGACTAAGGGGTCGTGGAGGCGGCGACGGCCTGGTGCACCATAACTGCGCGCCTCGACTCCGTCGAAGCCCCGCCAAGAAAGATGACGAGTGAATGAGCCGGGGGGATGACAAAGCGGATGGTTTGGATGCTCATCCTTTTTCCTGAAGGCGCCGCCGGAGACTATTGCCTGTGGGCGCTCGCCGGCAGGCCGGCGAACGCTGAAAGTGAACATAATTTTATATCGCTCTGCCAACGAGTCTACCTGGGCCGACGGGGTCGCCCACGCGGGTGCGATTTTGCCTCGGCGTTTGCGTCAGGCGTCCTCCTCCTCCTCCTCCTCCTCCTCCTCCTCCTTTTCCTCCTCCTCCTCCTCCTCCTCCTCCTCCTCCTCCTCCTCCTCCTCCTCCCCCTCCTCCCCCTCCTCCTCCTCCTCCTCCTCCATCGCCTGCCCCTCGATCTGAGGTCTTGACCGCGGCCTCCGCACCATACCCTGCTGGGCCCGCGCGGGCTCTCCAGCGGGGCACGCGCGATTCCAGCGCTCGTCTTGTCTCGTTCCCCCCTCCTTCTTCCCCTTCTCCTTCTCCCCCCCTCCCCCTCCTCCTCCTCCTCCTCCTCCCTCCTCCTCCTCCTCCTCCTCCTCCTCCTCCTCCTCCTCCTCCTCCTCCCCCTCCTCCTCCTCCTCCTCCTCCTCCTCCTCCTCCTCCTCCTCCTCCTCCTCCTCCTCCTCCTCCTCCTCCTCCTCCTCCTCCTCCTCCTCCTCCTCCTCCTCCTCCTCCTCCTCCTCCTGCGCTACAGCCTGAGGCGCGACCGAAGTTCACTTCGCACCTCGTGAAAAGGGTATCAAACGGGATTCCCTGGCGAGACGAGTGTCCCGTGACCTAAGCGAGCCCACGCCCATCCAGTGTCAAGGTCGCCTTCGCGACTGCCGCGGTGGGTCTAGGAACAGGGAGGACCCTCCCTGTGCTACTGCCTCTGGCGGTGGCTGACACGGCGAAGCGCGACCCCCCCAGGCCAGAGGACAGGAACCAGGACCAGCACCTTGCACGGGCAGCTGACTCCACAGAGTTTGACATTGGAATAGGCGAGGCGCCACGGCCGAGGGTGTCACCAGGCCCTGAGTGGGAGACCTATGCCAGAGAGCCTCGGGCGGGTAAACTGCAGCCTCTGTGCACGCTGCAGCCTGCGGGGCGCGCCTTGCCAATCGGTACATTCGTCTAAGTCTGTCTCGACTCCACTCGCACGGATGCAGGGGCGAACAAGGGCTGCGTGTCCTCTTCTTCTCGCAGCAGATCTCGCAATCGCCTCAGCGGGCCGACTGCCGACTGAGTTGCGACCACGACCGACGACTCCAAGACGTTAACTTCCCTCGGCCTCGCTGAGGTTTTCGGGTGCAGCTGCGGAGGTGGTCCCCCTCCTGTCTCTGCCCTCTCTTCAAGCAGGAAGGCTGCAGACTCTCCTTCAGCGTCAAATTGCCTGACATTGAACGTCTCTTCCTGTCTCTCTCGCAGTGGCACAAGCTGGTCAGCTTGCGCCTCTGCTGCAAGAGCCGACGATGAGGCGGCTCCTTGACCGACTGTACTCGGCATAGGGTCACTTGACTGTGTCGCTGCTCCTGTCTGGGAGGCGTGTCTTGAATCTGCTACAACAGGCTAGTGCTCTAAAGCTTCGGGGGGCTAGCCAAGGCCGATTGTTTTGAACGTGGCCTTGCAATCCTTACTATTGCGCCTGTCGCACTGTCTGGCTGGTCGGACGCACGTCCCTACTCCCTGCGCCCCGCACGGGCGGCAAAACCAGATACCCCAATAGTTCTCCTGCTTGTGCGAAACATCTATCTGGTTGCCACCCCCCAGACAGGGCGAGGCCGACAACTCTTCCAACGATCGTTTCCCCGCGGTGTCCAGGCAAGCTTTGCACCCAATCCTTTGGGGGTGCGGCAAGTTTCATGGGGCGAAGATCGAAGGCTTGGGCTTGAACTACAGACCCAACGTGCACATCAACTTTTAGAATGGTCCCCTAAAAATCCTTGAGACGCTTGCGGCCACCTTTAGGGCAACCGCTACCAAGTGCCCCCTGCACCCTTCAAACCAACTTGTCGGCCTTCCCAACTTGGCCTGCTAGGCCATGCGGGACCGGGGCTTCCCGTGCAGGCTTCCGCCAACCCATCACCTTCTTTATTCGCAAGCCACTGCTGACCTGCCGAGGTCGAGTGCTGACCTGTCGAGGTGACTCTTGACCCTGACTCACCTGCGGGTACCCTCGCGCTCTCCTGCTGTCTGCCAGTGCTGTGCCCGAAGGTCCGCGCTGCTCCTGTGGTTCCTATTGGGTCTCCTTCTGAAGCCCTTCTCTGCGCAAGAAGCGTCAGCAATGTATGTCGCATCGCCGGACGTGGCCTGGCGCACGCTCCGATTATTGCTAGCAGCAACTTGGCTCGGCGTACTTTCTGCCTCCAACCAGACACGGTGCCACGATTGGATGCCAGGACCGTCTCGCCCCTGCAAATGGCGAAAACCAAACCCACACGGCGAAAGCGAAGGTCAACGCTGTGTTCTCCCCCAGATACGTCGCCGCCTAGAAAGCCGCCGGGTTGCAGCCTGAACCTCAGCCCCCCTCTCTGGCCACTCCCCCTCTTAAGAAGTGATCTCTTCTTGTAGAAGGGTATCCTCTCGGGGCATGGTCCGAATAATGGGTACTAAGCCGCGCAGTCAAACGTATGGGTACGTTTCAACCCGTACTTTCGGCTGCTCACACAACCATCCTTCGTCTTCCAAGTCGGCAGTGTCGCTATTGCAGGGGCATCCCCAAACTTCATGGTAACATATTTCGCTTGGTACTCTGCAACTCGGGCATACTGTGGTACCCAGCGCCGTGTTCCCATACTTACGTTGGTCGGGCCACATGGCCCCTTGGGCTACCATGTCTGAAATGGAGGCCATACGGTGTAGCCCTTTTATTCCGTAGTGACTTGAGATGGGCCCAAGTCACAGCGAAGTCAATTCCGAACTCAACTCCAGAGCACACGAAATGCTTGCTGGCCTGTGCCCATCTGTTTTGCTCCAAGGAGGGTCCTACTTCAGACTTCAGCCTGTCTGGGTCTTCGGTTCCTTCAGCGATGAATTTTAACCGTCTGGCACGGTCCACTCCCCTGGGGAGTTGGGCTGCCAGCGCATGTCGAGAAGGGCGGCCTGAACGGTTGACATGTGTCCCTTGATTTGTAGCCAACGGTGCTCTGCTCCTTGCAACTTGTTGAAGTTAACCTGTCAGGCCATGCCAATGGCATTGCGCAGCTCAAGATCCTAGGGAAGTGGTCCTGCCAGGCCCGCAGAAGCTCCAACGTGTCCGAGGAAAAGGGGGTCACTACGTTTGCCCCAACTGATCCTACTTGCGGTGATGGCACAACCTCCAGCCCACTTGCTGCCACACATGCTAGAAACTTGGGCCCTCAATTTTTTCAAAATCGTGGGCAAGGCCCATGGCCACGGCTCCCCAGTACGCCTGCGGCTTGTGGCCAGTCTTGGCCAACTCTTTGGCCGCCCGAACGGTTCTACCCAGGATCTTGATTCCTAAGGCCCTCCAAGTGGACTCTTGCTCTTGTGGCAGTAGCAAAATACACTCCGAGATCATGCGCTGGCCATGCATGTTTTGAAATCCTCCTGACGCTGCTGGCTTTGTCCTCCTCCTGACGCTGATGGCGCTCAGATTCGATCCGAACGCAGCCATCCTGTCCACCTCCTCTGCTCCTCCTCCTCCTCCTCCTCCTTCCTTCTCCTCCTCCTCCTCCTTCCTCTTCCTTCTTCTCCTCCTCCTCCTCCTCCTCCTCCTCCTCCTCCTCCTCCTCCCTTCTCCTCCTCCTCCTCCTCCTCCTCCTCCTCCTTCCTCTTCCTTCTCCCCCTTCTCCTCCTCCTCCTCCTCCTCCTCCTCCTCCTCCTCCTCTTCCTCCTCCCCCTGGAGGGAAGGCCACGTGTCCTTTCCAAGCCACTGGAAAACTGGGTGGTGGCACACCTCATACACCTGTTCCGGGTTGGCATTCTGGCAGGCGGCGGAGTGGAAGCGGAACGAGCTGCTCAGAACCACCACGGCCAACACCAGAAGGGTGAGGACGCCGTCCTTGACCTGGAGGCCGCTGTAGCAGATGAGTCGGAAGGTCGAACTGCATCGCGGATGCATCCGCGATGCGTCGGCGAAGTCGGGATGCTCTGGACCGCGACGCATTACCATCTTCCTGGAGGTCTCCAGAGGCCCTGGAAGCCCTCAGAGCCGCTCCTGGAAAGCCCACCCCCAAAGGGCCAAGGACGCTCAACCACTGTAAGCCCTTGGCCCTTACTTCGCCCCCAATCCATTTTTGTTGGCAGCCCAGGCTGCGGATGCCCGACATGGGTACCGAAAAAATGGGTACGATGCCAAACAACACATGTTGTCCCAAAACAACAGCGGCCGCTGTTGGGCAGGCGGCCTTCTGTCTCAAATGTACACAGGCCGTGGCGGCGCCGACAGCGAGTCCTGTTCAACATGAACAGGAACTGCTGTTGGGCATTGTGCCCATTCTTTCCGTACCCATTTCGGGCGTCCAGACAGGCCGACCTGGACCTGCTTCTTCAAGTTCTCGGGGCCTGCGTGCCAGGAGTAGCGCCTTGCCGTCTGGCTCTCGGGTCGCAAACCGGGTCTCCGGCGGCCGTCTGGGACGATGCGGACACCCTCCGCACGCCCTCGGCGAAGCGCAGCTGCTGGAGGGTACCCCGAGGCCGGGAAACCGCAAATAATCAACGAGAACGCTCGATTGACCTCAAGGTTCGAACCCCGAACCTGTCGGATGCGGCCCTGGCGGACAACATCCAGAGGCTGGAAGCCGCCGAGGGCCGACGAAAAGGCTCGATAAACCCTGAGGCAAAAAAACCCGCGATTCGACCGACCCGAACCCATCGGAGGGAGCGGGAAAGGAAGGGGAGAGAGGTGAGGATGAGGATGGGGAGGATGATGGGAACGATGAGGAAGAAGATGAGGAACATGAGCATGATGGCGATGACGATGGCGACGTTGAAGACAAGCGTTTGAACATCCTGAACTGTGCCAGAACATTCCTGGGACTTCACACCGATACTGCTGCGTCCTGACGACCCTGAGTCGTGCCAGAACACCAGTTCTGGAACTTCAACATAAAGAATCAACGTAATAGTTGCACCTTGACAATCCGACTTCGCGCCTAATCACGATTGTTGGGATGTTAACCACGAGAATCCTTGAGCCTGCTCTCAAATCTTAAAATCAATGTGCGCCGCGCTGCGTCGAGAATCACAGCTTGAAAAGGGGCCGCCGTACATCCGTGAAGCTCATGCCGACTTTTGAAACGAATGTACTCGGCGCTAAAGCTAAGGCGAGACCTGCATTAACAAAAAGCGGCCTCCCTCCATCTGTGAAGCTGTTTCAGCTTTTCGAAACAAATCCTGTTGTGTTGGGTTCTCGTTTTGAAGAGATAGTGCCACGTGTTTTTGCTTTTTTTGACTCCATTTCTCTCCTCCTCCCCCTCCTCCCTCCTCCCATCCCTTGCACCCCATCGCACGTTCCGTGGCTCCATAGGAAGCTCCACCGAAGGCCCCAACTGGTAGGGTTTGCATGTGGTTTTACCTGATGCTGGTACACGCCTCACACGTCTCGTGGCCCCGTAGGGAGCTCCGCCGAAGGCCCCAATGGCAGGGTTCGCATGCGGTTCCACCCCCAATGTTGGCACACCCCTCACACGTTTCGTGGCCCCATAGGGAGCTTCACCGAAGGCCCCAGTGGCAAGGCCCGCATGCGGTTCCACCCTCATTTCGGCACATCTCTCACACGTTTGGTGGCCCCGTAGGGAGCTCCACCGAAGGCCCCAGTAGCAGGGCTCGCGTGCGGTTCCACCTCCATTTCGGCACATCTCTCGCACGCTTCGTGGCCCCGTCGGGAGCTCCACCGCAGGCCCCCCCAGTGGCAGGGTTCGCGTGCGGTTCCACCCCCATTTCGGCACATCCCTCACACGTTGGCCCCAGTGGCAGGGTTCGCATGCGGTTCCACACCGATTTCGGCACATCTCTCACACGTTTCGTGGCCCCGTGGGGAGCTCCACCTAAGACCCCAATCACAAGGTTCGCACCTAATTTCGGCATGCTCTTCACCCGCTTCGTGGCCCCCGTGGGGAGCTCCACCCAAGAACCCCGCAGTGGCAGGGTTCGCGTGCGGTTCCACACCTAATTTCAGCATGCTCTTCACCCGCTTCGTGGCCCCATATGGATGGGAGCTCCACCGAAGGCCCCCCCAATGGCAAGGCTCGCATGCGCTTCCACTCCATTTCGGCACATCCCTCACACGTTTCGTGGCCCCGTAGGGGACTCCACCGAAGGCCCCATAGCAGGGTTCGCATGCGAATTCCACCCCCATTCCGGCACACCTCTCACACGTTTTGTGGCCCCACAGGGAGCTCCGCCGCAGACAATATTCACAACTGCGGCACTCAAAACTTCATGTGGTTGGGTCCTTTCGCCAGGCTAATTTAGAATGGAAGTGCGCGGCGCCAAGGCAATAACCACATTTTGAAAACGGCCCGCCCTCCATCCGCGAAGTTCAAAACGAATTTGCGCGGCGCTAAAAAGCGAGAACCAAATTTTGGAAACTGCCCACCCACCGTCCGTGAAGTCGTTGCAAATTTTAAGCTTCAAAACAACAAACGATGAACACATCTCAAGCGAAACGCCCGAGCCGCTCTTTCGACCGGCTTCGGGAAACGACAAGGAAGGAGCCACATACAAATAAAATAATGGAAGAGGGTGCGGATGAGGATGAGGAGGAGGTGGAGGAGAATGAGGAGGAGAAGGAGGAGGAAAAGGTCGAGGAGGAGGAGGACAGGGCGGATGAAAACGAGGACGAGGCGGAGGAGGAGGAGGAGGAGAAGGAGGAGGAAGAGGAGGAAGAGGAGGACTAGAGTAGACCCAAGACTCATCAACGATGTTGGGATACACCCTCCCTCCAGGCTCCCTCTGGACAGGCCCTATACGAGGATTCACTTCCACTGAGAGAAATGCCCCGTTGGGGGGCAACCGTATGCAAATCCTGAAGCGTGCCAGAACACCATTCTTAGGACCTGAACGCCACGAATCAACCTGACAGTTGCGTTTTGACGATCCTGAATCGTACCATAACGCCATTCCTGGGGCTTTAACACCGCGAACCAACATAATTATTGCATCCGCGATACTCTTGCACATGTTTGAAACGGGTGTGCGTGGCGCTTCGGCGAAAACCACATGTTGAAACTGAGCCGGCTTCGATCTTTGAAATTCTTGTAAATGAAAACGGATGTGCTTGGTGCTAAGGCGAGAACCACTTATTGAAAACGACCCGCCCTCAATCCGTGAAGCTATCGGAAAATGTCAAAACGAATGTGCGCGGAGCCGAGGCGATAACAGCATTTTGAAAACGACGCGCCCTCATTCCGTGGAGCTCGGGCAAATTTTCAAAACGCATGTGCGCGGCGCTGGGGCGAGAGCCACGTTTTCGAAACGGCCCGCCTTCCCGCTGCAAGCCAGCTGTCAGTTTCTAAGCTTCAGGCTCAGAGGTGATAGAGAAGTCTCCAGCGAAACGCCCAGCCCGCCCTTCCGACTGGCTTCGGGGTTCGACGGGGAGGTATCACTCATAAGCAAAAGCAGTGGATGAGGAGGAGGGGGTCGAGGGGGTCGGGGGGGGGGGGGCGGGGGGGGGGGAACGCGAGGAGGAGGAGGAGGAGGAGGAGGAGGAGGAGGAGGAGGAGGAGGAGGAAGAGGAGTAGGAAGAAGGACAGGGAGGAGGGGAAGAGGAAGAGGAGAAGGAAGAGGAGGAGAGGAGAGGAGGAAGAGGAGGAGGAGGAGGAGGAGGAGGGGGAGGAGGAACAGGAGGAGGGGGAGGAGGAGGTGGAGGTGGTGGTGGTGGAGGAGGAGGAGAGGGAGAGGAGGAGGAGGAGGAGGAGGAGGAGGAGGGAGGAGGAGGAGAGAGGAGGAGGAGGAGGGAGGAGGAGGAGGAAAAGGAGGAGGAAAGGAGGAGGAGGAGGAGGAGGAGGAGGAGGAGGAGAGGAGGAGGAGGAGGAGGAGGAGGAGGAGGAGGTAGAGGAGGAGGAGGAGGAGGAGGGAGGAGGAGGAAGAGGAGGAGGATGAGGAGGAGGAGGAGGAGGAGGAGGAGGAGGAGAGGGAGGTGGAGAAATCCCCAGGTTGTGTGACCCGAGCCTGACGGAGGCGGCCCTGCCCCGCGGGATCGGGGGAGCGCCTCGCGCACCTTCGAGGGCGGACGCGCGGGCCGCGCCCGTGCAGGCGGGCCCTGGGGAAGCCTGGCGGCGAGGGGAGAGGTGGGGTGGGCGAGGATGGGGATGGGCGGGGGATGCGGGGGAGGCGGAGGAGGAGGAGGAGGAGGAGGAGGAGGAGGAGGAGGAGGAGGAGGAGGAGGAAAAGGAGGAAGAGGAGGACGGCGAGGAGGAGGAGGAGGAGGAGGAGGAGGAGGAGGAGGAGGAGGAGGAGGAGGAGGAGGAGGAGGAGAGGGAGGACGAGCATGAGCAGAAGGGGGGGAACAGGACATGACAATGCCTGCCTCGGGCCATGAGTGGTGAAAACGGTGACTATGATGCTGCTAATGATGGCAATGCTGGTGATGCTGGTGATGATGATGGTGATGATGGTGATGAAGATAATGGTGGTGATGATGCTGATGATGATGATGCGGGCACTTCTGGGCGACCGAATTTCGACTGCACATCACAGGATCGCAAACACCTTCCACAGCTCCACCGCTCCTCCTCATCCGCCTCCAGTGGCCCAGGGCCGCCGCCGTGGCGTCCGCAGCCAAGAGCACCACGACGGTGCAGAGCTGCTCGGCGAGCCGCCGCGTAGAGGTGCCCCGGCGGCCGTCGAGCTGCGGGCGGCCGTGCGCCTGCGAGGCGGCCGCGAGCTCCGCGAGCGCCGCGGCGGCGCTGGCGCTGAGGCGGCCGCCCGCCTCGACGGCGACGCTGCGCACCTGCTCGCCGTAGCGCGACGCCTTGGCCCGGTCGCCAACGGCCCCTGCGGCACCAGGAGCGCGTCCCGCGTCGGCCAGCGAAGCGTTGAAGGGTGACCGGATGTTGACGCCCAGCCACCAGCGCTCGGCGCTGGCAGGGAACGCGACGACGAAATCCATCACCGCCTCCTGGATCGTGCCGTCCGGCAACGTCCGGTAGAGCTCAGGCACCCGCCGCTCCAGGTCGACGGCGGCGCCTGCGGAGCGCAGCTCCTCCTCGAGGCCGCGCACGGCCTCCGGTGTGAGCCCGCAACGTCATGGCTTTTCGGGGGCACGCCAGGGCGGGAGCAGCGCGCCGGCCGAGCGCCTCGCCGCACTCTCGCACTTCCTCGCCTGCGTCCTCGACGGCAACGTCCCGCCGCAGAAGAAGAAGATGATGATGCTGCTGCTGATGATGATGATGATGATGCTGATGCTGATGCTGATGCTGATGCTGATGCTGATGATGATGATGATGATGATGATGATGATGATGATGATGATGATGAATATGAATATGAATATGATGATGAACATGATGGTGAAAGTCCGAACTGCAAGCCACGATAAGGCCTGGGAGCAGTCGGAATGCCCCTGCGTAGATACGGATGCACGGCCAGTGCCTTGGCCTGCCTGGGGCGCCTCGCTGTCCCTCAGGCCGAGCGAATACCCCTCAGCAAGGAGCACTTACGAGCCTGCCTTTGAAACAGAAGCGCGGCACCGCTGGCGAAGCGAGGAGCAAGAAGGAGAGGCGCGAGAGTCGAGGGGGGAAGGAGCGACACCGAACGGAAGAGAACAGATGGGGGAGCGGACGGCGACAGCCCCAGGAGGAGAAGGAGGGTGGGCGAACTCGTCGGGCCCCTCACGCCCGCCCGCCCCGAATGGTCGAGGGTACGCCCACGGACCCGACGAGCCCGTCCTGCAACACGCGCCACATGCGCGCCGCGCTTTGCATTTTTACCAGTCGATCGATCGGATTTCTTTGGTCTCTTCGTTTTTTCCTTAAGTCATGCTCCTCAATATCAGCTTCAATCGATTCGTTTCTTCGGAACTCACCAAACGCGTCCAATAGGTCATCTAAAATTAGCTCAGGTGCAATCTGTTGTTTCCTTGTCAGTCTTAGAATCCTTGGCAAGTCCATATACGTTTGATTGAACACCACCATGTGTTCGATATCGTTTGCAGCCGCCGCGAAAGCAATGCCTTCTTCCAGTGTCCTTATCACGATATCCAATGACAGTATCTTGATTTTTCGCATCTAGCACTGCACGGTGCTTTACAACATAATGGGCTGCCAGACCAACAGATGCCCATGTCTTCTCAGTCTGGGAAGTGACGGATTTCGCGTGCTCTTATATACGTGTTCCTCTGGTTTCGACTGTCCCCCCTGCCCTGGAGAAAAAGCTAGACAAGTCGGGTTTGTACCCTCATGCCAGGAGGAGGATGAGGAGGAGGAGGAGGAGGAGGGGAAGGATGGGGCGGATTATCTGGAGGAGGAACAGTAGGGAAGAGGAAGAGAAGAACAACCGCAAAATATATCAACGATGCTGCAATACAACTCCCCTCCCGTGCCCCCTCCTCAGAAGTCCCTGCGGGAACTGCTCGTCACAACGGCAATCGCCTCCTCTGGGAGAAGACCGCCACACATGGGCCTGGCATTCAAGCGACGGCCAATTTTGAACAAGAATTAACCTGCATCCGTCTAGCTACATCTAATGCAGAATTGCGTCCAACAAAAAATCCAATTTGAAGCGGAGCCGCCCGCCATTCGTGTAGCCGTGGCGCCGCTTTGCATTTCTGGTCTCACATGTTGACGAACTCCCATGCGAGACACCCAATTAAAAAAAGGAGCCGTCCTCTATCCGTCAAGCTGTTGCACACATTGACACTCATGCCAGCAAGACGTAAGCGAGAACTTTGCTTTTAAAAATGAACCACCCTCCACTTTGGTTGACACGCGACGCATCCAAGACGATAGTGCGCGGCGCTAGTGCAAGAGAGACATACTGAAAACCACTGGCCCTCCATCCTTGTAACTGCTGAAAGCGTTTGAAGCGACTGTGGCCGACGCTAGGGCGATAGGTACACTTTGAAAACCACCACCCTTCCATCCTTGCAGCTCGTAGGATGTTTCAAAACCATCAGCGGTGAGGAGTCTCAAGCAATAAGCCCGGCCCGCCCTACTCGGACCGACACGTCTGGTGCTGCTGCGACGAGGATGCGTAGTTCAGAAGGGGCATGAGTTGAAAAGGGTGAGGGAAAGGAGATGACGGGAGAGATGGAGAAGGAAGGTGAGGATGGGGAAACAAAACGGTACCGATACCGTTGCTCCCTGGACCTCCACTGGGATGCGTTTTGACAAGAATTTCGAGGAGATTCCAGGCGCGACGACGAGGGCTCTCCAGGACGAGCAGCGGTACCGGTACCCATGTCTCTTCTGAGGGGAGGAAGAGGAGGAGAACGGAGAAATAAGGCAGGAGGGGAAGGAGTGCCATAGAAACAAAATATTTTTCATGACCCCTTCCTGGGGACGGGCTTCCCATTTCGAGTCGTACGCTGACGGTCCCGAGGCCCAGTGGGGGCCCCTGGAAGCCGAAGACGGCCAAAAACCTTTTTGTCTTGTTTGTTCACGGCGCACGCATGTCTGAGGGAGGAGAAGGAGGAGGAGGAGGAGGAGGAGGAGGAGGAGGAGGAGAGGAGGAGGAGGAGGAGGAGGAGGAGAAGGCGTGTCGTCGGAAGCCTCCGCGCCCTCGCTCGTGGCCCCCGCGGAGCCCTCGGCCTGCGGGGCCGGCGCCGCCGCCGCCGCGCGCTTGGCGGCGGTGTCGCCCCGCTCGGCCTTGCCCTCGGCCTCCTCCTCGAAGTACTGCTGCCACGTCGTGCGGAAGACCATGACCCGACAAGCCCGCCCTGCGGCGGGCCGTGCGCGTCGCAAGGCGAATGTTTCACTACTCGGCGTTTCGGCAGTGGGCGGAAGGGGGGGGGGGGGAGTTGGGGGGAACTGGCTCTGGACCTCTGCTTGCTGCGACTGTTTGCAACAGTGCGTCCTATAGGGGAGACTCCACCTGCTTGAAACAGGCGCCACAAACAACCAAGATCTACTCCATGGGGGGGAGGGGGGGTGCGAGGGCCCGCGCCGATCGGCAAAACAGTACATAAGAAAACGACAACAAAACACAGGGCGCGACGGGATCTGTATATACGCATCCACTGCCTCTGGCCAGGCACCTCCTGGGGCCAGGAGCACTGCATACGCCCCCCTAGCTTGGCCAGGGGGGCGGAAACACGGGTCCTGGTCCCAGGATCGACTTCGCCAGGAGCGGTGGACACGTATAGATCCTATCGCCCGAAGAGAATGCTGCCGCTGGAGCAGCTGACGGTTCAGACGATGCCAAGATTGGGGCGAAATCGGATCGGGATGAACCGGATGTCTCCGAGATCTGACGGTTCTGGAGGATGCATCGGGCGCCCCGCCCATTCCAGAGCGTTCCAGAACGTTCTGATGGGACGCACAAGACATCTACTAGTATGTACTATATGTCCTCCTTGCAGGCGCGCGTCCGATCCGAACATGTAGTATACCCATCTCGTAGTGTATCGTTTCCCGAGCGGTGTGGCCAGAAAGCGCCCGCCACGACACATAGATACTAGAAAGTTTCGGTGCGAGCGCCGCCCCTGGGGGGGCGACGCGCAGTATTAGTATGTTGGGGTGACGCCGAGCCTAGTGCGGGCTCCCAAAGGCCGAACGTAGCGAAAAGCGTCCCGTCGTGATTTGTGTCACGACTCGAGGGGCTCTGGGCCGGCAAGGACCTTCAGGCACGCCCGGCCAGGCTGAGAGCGTCCCAGTACGCTCTGGATTGAATGCCAGGGGCGCTCCTCCTCCTCCTCCTCCTCCTCCTCCTCTTCCTCTTCCTCCTCCTCCTCTTCCTCCATTCCTTGTCCTTGTGACTAGCTCCTCCCTGTCGCACCTCGAGGCCGCTCGAAAGGGCGGGCCTGCCAGTTCGCCTGAGACTTCTTCACCATTTATGATCCTGAAGCTCAAAAATTGAAAACATTCACGAATGGAGGGCGGGTCGCTTTCAAAATGTGGCTCTCGCCTTCGCGCCGCGCACATAGGTCTTCACAACTTGCAGCAATTTCACGAATGGAGGACGGGCGGTTTTGCAATATGTGGCTCTCGTTTGCAAGAGCTTCACGTACGGAACACGGTACCTTTTCAACATGTGCCTCTCGCCTTAGCGCCGCGCGCATTCGTCTTAAACCTTTCCAAGCGCTTCACGGATGGAGGGCGGTCCCTTTTCAACATGTGGCTCTAGCCTAAGCACCACGCAAATTCGTTTTAAGAGTCTTGGAGCAGTTTCGAGGATTCTTGTCTGGCGTTCCAGTAGTGGTGATTTGGCACGATGTCGGAATGCCACGGCGCAACTGTCGCAGTGATTCACGGTGTTGAAATCCCAGGAATGGCCTTTTGGCACCAGACAGGATCGTCAAGACGCAGCAGTAAGTGTGATTCGCGGCGTTGAAGTCCCCCAAATGGTGTCCTGATTTTCAAACGGTTGTCTTCCAATGGGGCACTTCCCTCTGTGACACTGAACCCTTGTTGGGCCCTGTGAATAGAGAACTTGGAGGAAGGGTTTATTGCAATATAGTTGATGAGTCTTGGGTTTGCACTGGTCTTCCTCCTCCTCATCCTCCTCCTCCTTCACCTCCTCCTCCTCCTCCTCCTCCTCCTCCTCCTCCTCCTCCCCCCCCTCCAGGAGGCGGTGGCGGATGTGCGCAGAAGGCGCGACTGGATGGTGATGGCAAGGAGCGTGCATGTGAGCGTCATGCTTATGACCACGCTAGGGAGCACGCGATTGAGGAATACGCCGATGTTCGAAGATAAAAAAACTGAATCAACATGCACTTTCGAAGCTCGGCGCAGATTTCCTGGATCGACGGTGCCCCCCCCCCCCCCCCCTGGCGCGCGGAGCGCGCCAGGGGCGGCGCCAGAGGCGCCGCCAGAGGGTTCCAGCACAACTCCGAGAAATTCGCGCGGAGCTTACACCATGTAGATTGATCCATGTTTTCTTCTTCGAGATGTAGGTGCCGCCCAACGAAGCCGGTATGACGAGCCGGCAGATATTGAAATCGACGAGGCTCGCCTTCTTCTGGTCCTCCGTGCTGAACGACTTGCGGAGGTTCAGGAAGAGCGAGGCTATGGACCCAGTGAAAACAATACCCTTGGAGAGTGGGACTGCGTCGGATATGTCGAGGCCTTAAGAGCTCTCCCCATGATTCAGGCCGACCCGATGCCTGAGCCGAGATCTCCTCCTCCTCGTCTTTTTGCGCGCCCTCAAACTGCCACCGCGGCACATCCATAAACGTCCTCTGGCATGTATTGGCCCGAACGAATCAACGGGACCAAAGACTGAGGAAAGGGGAGGGCACACGGAGTACTCTTCCAACATCCACAGATTGTCACCTTCTCCTTTCATAGCCAGATTCTCCCTCTCAACCTCCTCCTTCTCGCCTCCCCTTGCAGGCCGCGACCCCGATCCAGACAGCCAAGGCCTGCTCCCGATCCGTCCAGTTGGAGCCCACCCCAACGCGGGGAGCACTCTGCCATCAGGAGGCCCGACCGATCCGACCGAGCGATGGATCAGCGGTCGGTTACATCAGGAGGAGGACGAGGATTGGGAGAAGGAAGAGGAGGATGAGGAGGAGGAGGAGGAGGAGGAAGGGGGGAGAGAAGGAGGCGAGGTGAAGGAGGGAGGAGGAGGGCGCGGAGAAGGAAGGCGAGGAGGGTGAAGTTGAGGGCGAGGAGACGGAGGGGGAGAATCTTCGTTCTTCTCCACACTCCCCGATCGATGCAGCAGCGATCGAGCTCAAAGAAGGACGATGGAGATCTCCCGGGGCGGAGGCCGCCCGCGACCATCAAGACGGTCACGTAGACGCCGCCGCCGCCGATGCCGCCAGCCGAGCAGAGGATCCCGGCGAGGAAGAGGACAACCAACGAGGGGATGGATGGAGGGGAGGGGGGAAGGGAGGGAGGGGGGGAAGGAGGAGAGCAAAATGGGGAGGGATGGAGGTTGGAGTGGAGGAGATGAGGGATGAGAACCGAGGGAGGGCTGGAACGAGGATCGAAGACACACAAACTGCATAAACAGCATCTTTCGGAGGCCGGCACGGATTTATCGGATTTGCGATGGGCCCCCCTCCCCACTGAGCGCGCCAGGGGCGGCGCTGGAGGCGCAGCCGGGGGGGTCCAGCGCAGATCCAAGAAATCCGCGCGGACCTCCGAAAGCTAATGTTTATGCAGGGTTTTCGTCCTCGAGTAGAGGAGCCAGGATGCGAGAGGGAGGAGGTGGAGGAGGGAGGAGGAGCAGGGAGGAGGAGGAGGAGGAAGGAGGAGGGAGGAGGAGGGAGGAGGAGGGAGGAGGAGGGAGGAGGAAGGAGAGCGTGACCGCGCACACCCACACATGAGGGCCCCGCAGCTGGAAGCCCTCGAAGTGCCACATCGGGTGAGGGGTCTTCGGCGGGGGGGCCTCTCGGAACACCGCTCAACCGATCCGCACCCCCACTGGCATGGCCTCGGGCCCACTGGCTGACTTGCCCGCCCATGCGGGGCGGCGTGCCTGTTGCCTTCGGGCTTCGCAGGGCCACGCCTCCACCTGCGAGGGTGGGCCGGAGGGGCCGAGCCACCACGCTCCAGTGGGGATTGGGATCGATTGGGCGACGCCGAGCCTCGGAGTCGTGGAACTGGAACTCCAGAACCCTCGGCTTCTGTGGGGCCTGCGGCGGGAACTGGCGGCCGCGGACCTCGTCGCTGGCGCGGGCCGCCTCGGGCTCAGCGGATCGCAGGCCTGTAGACGACTCCGAGGTGAAGAGCCGTGCGCTGATGCCCTCTGCCCGCAGGGGGGCAAGCGCAACAACGGCCAGGCTGCACAACGACCACATTCTCATGGGTGAGCAGCTTCGGCACAGCCGCGTACTGCTCAAGACTGAATACTTATTCAAGATGATAAACGGCAATAAGATAATCGACTATATTCCCATGGAGGGTCAGCCAAGCAGGGCCGGCTGGTGAGTCGAATATGCATGCGGTCGTGAGTGGAAATAAGAATCTCGAGCCAAACAATTTCGTGGATGATGATGAAGATGATGATGGTGCTGAGGATGATGATGCTGATGATGATGGTATTGGTGATGATGTCAAGCATGATGATGATGATGATGATGATGATGATGATGATGATGATGATGATGATGATGATGATGATGATGATGATGATGACTACGATGATGATGCGTATAAACTTCGCATTGGGGTGCTCATGATGTCGGCGGCGTCCACGGCATGGTGGTGATTCCGATGGTAGCTACGATGACAATCTCAGGGGGGTGAGCGAGAGAAGCGACGGCGAGGACGAGGGGGATCACGAGGGCGAGGAGAACGAGGACCAAGAGTGCGGAAGAGAAGGAGGAGGAGGACGACGATGACGCAGATTAGGCGACGAAAAAAAGGCGTGCACATAAGCTTTCACAAGTTCGAGCGGATTCCTTGGATCTGCGCTGGACGCCCTCGTTGCTGCGCGGAGCGCGTCAGGGGCGGCGCCCGAGGGGCCGCCAGGGGGGGCCAGCGCCGATCCAAGAAATCCGCGTGGGAGCTCTGAAAGCTTCTGTTTTTCTTATCCTTCTTCCAGATGCCGACGAAGCTGATGACGAAGATGACCAAGACGACGAGAAGCGCGAGGACGTGGACAAAGACCCATACATCCGACGTCTTGTTTTTTCCCAACATGTCCCGTGGGGTACTGGTTCTCTTCTCAGCCGCGTCTCACCCGCGCGACGCCCACACTTCACCTAATCACTTGATAAGCCCTCCCACACATATGGGATATGCGCTCTCACACACAACTCCTCCCTGTCCTTCTCTTTCTCACCTTCACTCGCGCGCACACCATACACAAACGAACATGCTGTCTGACGCAGCACGACGCCCGCATGAGACACACGTGTGCAACCGTAGACGCAATAGACATATACGCAAGCCACACAGATGCGGATCGCACACATACGCACAGCACGCATACAGCACGCATACACACGTGGCATTTTCTTCACACCAGAGAGGGTGCGCAGGGGGTGGCCCCTCACCGCGGTCTATATCCGTCTCTGGGTCGCGGGGCGTGGCATGCGTGGCACTTTCTCCACACCAAGGGGTGCGCAAGGGGTGGTCCTTCACCGCGGTCTCTGTCCGTCTCAGGGTCGTGACGTGTGGCAGGCGTGGCACTTCCAAGTTCCACACCATAGGGGGTGCGCAAGAGGTGGCCCTCACCGCGATCCCTATCCGTCTCAGGGTCACTGGGCTTGGCAGGCGTGGCACTTCCTCCACACCAGAGGGAGTGCGCAGGGGGTGGTCCCTCACCGCGGCGTCTTATCCGTCTCAGGGTCCTGGGGCGTGGCAGGCGCGGCACTTCCTCCATGCCGCTGGGGGTGCGCCAAAGGTGGTCCCTCACTCCGGTCTCTATCCGTCTCAGGGTCGCGGGGCGTGGCAGGCGTGGCACTTTCTCCACACCGCAGAGGTGGTCCCTCACCGCGGCCTTCATCCATCTCACGGTCCTGGGGCGTGGCAGGCGAAGAAATTCCTCCACGCTATCGGACCCGGGGATCGTCGTGCGTCCTTGCGTCGTCCTCCCCTGCGCGTCTGGAGGCGGAGCAGGCTGATGCCCCCCGCCCGGGGCTCCACCCGGTTGTAATAGAAATAATCATGGTAGCCGACGAGTACGACGAGTACGACGAGCACGACTTCTGAAAACGACTGGGACAACGACGAGTACGACGACGAGTATGACGACGATGACGAGCACGACGACGGTACGAGTACGACGACGAGTACAACGAGGAATACAACAACGAGTACAATGACGAGTACAACGACGAGTACGGCGAGGACGACGACAGCGACGACGACAAGTACGACGACGACGATTACGACAACGAGTACAACGAGTACGACGAGTCGTACTGGTATTCGTCTGAGCAAAAAGTAGTAGTAGTAGTAGGAGTAGTCGAAATACTAGTAGGAGTAGTAGTCGTAGTAGTAGTAGTAGTAGTAGAAGCAGTCGTAGTAGTAATATCAATAGTCGTAGTAGTAGTCGTAGTAGTAGTAGTAGTAGTAGTAGTAGTAGTAGTGGTAGTAGTAGTATTAGTAGTAGTAGCAGTAGTAGTAGTAGTAGTAATCGTAGTAGTCGTCGTCGGAATAGTAGTAGCAGTGCAAGTAGTGGTAGAAATCGTCGGATTAGTCGTAGTAATAGTAGTCGTAGTAGTAGTAGTAGTAGTAGTAGTAGTAGTAGTAGTCGTAGTAGTAGTAGTAGTAGTAGTAGTAGTAGTAGTAGTAGTAGTAGTAGTAGTCGTAGTAGTAGTAGTAGTAGTTTAGTAGTAGTAGTAGTAGTAGTAGTACTAGTAGTAGTCATAGTAGTAGTAGTAGTAGTAGTAGTTAGTAAGTAGTAGTAATTAGTAGTAGTCGTAGTAGTTAGTCGTAGTCGTCGGTCGTAGTCGTCGTAGTAAACAAAAGTAGTATAGTAGTAGTAGTAGTGTAGTAGTAGTAGTAGTAGTAGTAGTAGTTGTAGTAGTAGTAGTAGTAGTAGTAGTAGTAGTAGTAGTCGTAGTAGAAGTAGTAGTCGTAGTAGTAGTAGTAGTAGTCGTAGTAGTAGTAGTAGAAATCGTACTTGTAGTCGTAGTAGTAATAGTGGTAGTCGTAGTAGTCGTAGTAGTAGTAGTAGTAGTAGTAGTAGTAGTTGTCGTCCCAGTAGTTATAGCAATAGTAGTAGTTGTAGAAGTAATAGAAGTAGAAATAAAAGGATAAGTATTATTATTATTAGTAGTAGTAGTAGTAGTCGTAGTAGTAGTAGTAGTAGCTGTAGTAGTAATACTAGCCGCAATCGTAGCAAAAGTAGCAGTAACAGTTCTAGTAGTAGTAGTAGTAAAGGTAGTAGTAGTAGTAGTAGTAGTAGTAGTAGTAGTAGTAGTAGTAGTAGTTAGTAGAAGTATTAGTACTAGCGGTAAGAGTAGTCGTAGTGCTAGTCGTAGTAGTCGTAGTAGTAGCCGTGGGCGGTAGTCGTCTTCGTCGTACTTGTAGTCGTACTAGTATGAAAAATCATAGCAGACGTAGGAGTAAGAATCGTCGTCGTGGTAGTAGTGGTAGTAGTAGTAGTTGTGACATCAGTAGGAATAGTAGAGGTAGTCATAGTAGTAGCAGTAGTGGCAGAAATCGTATTAAGACCAGTAGACGTAGTATGTATACTAGTAGTAGTAAGTGGTAGCGGCAATAGCAGCACCAGTAGTAGTAGTAGCAGTAAAAATAATAATAGCAGTAGCAACAGTAGTAGTAGTAGTCGTAGTAGTAGTAGTAGTAGTAGTCGTAGTAGTAGTAGTAGTAGTAATAGTAGTAAGAGTAAAAGTAGTAGTGGAGTAATAATAGTAGTCGTAATAGTAGATGTGGTAATAGTCGTAGTAGTAGGAGTCGTCGTCGTGGTAGTAGTAATGAAAATAGCAGTAATCGTAATAGTCGCAGCCGTAGTAGTAGCAATAGTTATTAATAGTAGTAGTCGTCGTTTAGTAGTAGTAGTAGTAGTAGTAGTAGTAGTAGTCGTAGTCGTAGTAGTAGTAGTAGTAGTATTAGTCGTAGTGGTAGTAGCAGTAATAGTAGTAGTAATAGTAGTAGTAGTAGTAGTAGTAGTAGTAGTAGTAGTCGTAGTGGTAGTAGTAGTAGTAGTAGTAGTAGTAGTAGTAGTAGTAGTAGTAGGAGTCGTAGTAGTAGTAGTAGTAGTAGTAGTAGTATTAATGGTAGTCGTTGTAACAGTGGTCGCAGTAGCAATGATCGTATTACTGGTAGTTGTAATCGTCGTGATCGTGGGACTAAGGCTACTGGCACTCGCAGCAGCAATTGTAGTAGTAGTAGTAGTAGTAGCAGCAGCGATAATACTAACAGTAGTAGGAATACTCGTAGTAGTAGTAATCGTTCTAGCCGTAGTATTCGTCTTCGAAATAATAATAATAGAGGTAACAGTAGCAGTAGTAGCAGTAGTAGCAGTAGCAGCAGTAGTAGTAGTAGTAGTAGTAGTAGTAGTAGTAGTAGTAGTAGTAGTAGTAGTAGAAGTAGTGGTAGTAGTAGTAGTAGTAGTAGTAGTAGTAGTAGTAGTGGTGGTACAGGGCTGAAGCTAAACGGTGATTTTCGTTTCCGTTTTGTGTTCGCTTTTCCCTCGTTTTGTCTTTAATCCACCTCTACTGCAAAACGAAATCAAACGAACACGGCTCACGAAATTGCCAACACACCGTTTAGGTCCAGCCCTGTAGTCGTAGTCGTAAGAGTAGCCGTAGTCTTTGCAATTAGTAGTAACAGTAGCAGTAGTAGGAAGCGTAGGAGTGATAGTCGCAACAGCAGTAGTAGTACCAGTAGCAGTAGTAGCCGTCGTAGTAGTAGTAGTAGTAGTAGTGGTGGTAGTAATGGTGGTAGTAGTAGTTAGTAGTAAACGTAGTCGTAGTCGTCGTAAATGTAGTAGTCGTCGTCGTAGTAGTCGACGCAGTAGTAGTAGTAGTAGTAGTAGTAGTAGTAGTAGTAATAGTAGTAGTAGTAATAGTAGTAGTAGTAGTCGTAGTAGTAGTAGTAGTAGTAGTAGTAGTAGTAGTGGTAGTGGTAGTGATAGTAGTAGTAGTAGTAGAAGTAGTAGTAGTAGTAGTAGTAGTAGTAGTAGTCGTAGTAATGGTAATAGTAGTAGTTGTAGTAGTAGTCGTAGCAGTAGTAGTAGTAGTAGTAGTAGTAGTAGTCGTACGAGTAGTAGTAGTAGTCGTAGTAGTAGTAGTAGTAGTAGTAGTAGTAGTAGTCGTAGTAGTAGTCGTCGTCATAGTAGCAGCAGTAGTAGTAGCAATATTAGTACAAGTGCTTTGTAGTGATAGTAGGCGTAGTAGTAATAGTCGTAGTAGTAGTAATCGTAGTCAAACAAATACTAATTGTCGCAAGCGTAGTAGTAGCAGTCGTAGTAGTAAGCGTAGTTGTAATAAAGATAGTAGTCGTAGTAGTCGCTGTGATAGTAGTCAGAATAAGAGTTGTCGTCGATGCAGTCGTAGT